CCCACAGAGCACTCAGCCACTATTTCTCTCTTTTTTGGGACAGTCAGTCACTATTTCTCTCTTTTTTAAAAATGTTTTTATCGGACATAATCAATAACAAGTTAGAACGAGCCACTCTCCAGCCTCCGCTTTAAAGCGAAATGGATTTTTGCTGTTTTAACGATAAACTCATGCACCACGTGCACAGTAGATGCGAACCTCCAGTCATGGAGACAATTGGGTCGAGTCAATGCAAAACAAAACTTTAAAAAATCAAATCAATCATATATATATATACTCATTTACAAATTTATGTCGCCATTGTAGTCTCTAATCTCATATGCTTGTATTTTTGCTCTGAGTTGAAGCGTCTCGCACTCTCTGCCAAGCCTTTAGATAACAGCACCTTCAATATATCAACTCCCTCTTGTAAAGCAGCATCAATCTAACATCATAAAGCCCACAGCATCATTCAAAACTTCAAAATACCAAATGAATATCCAATTCCATCAAATGCAGGACTCAATATACAAAACAACCATGTACTTACTCGTCCTTGAGCTGTTGCATTAAATTTCTGGAGCAAGAATGCTTTGGGATCCATTTGACCAGGAGGCCTCCCGATACCTAACAAGGAATTCATCATATTTCTAGCACTGCAAAAGATATCATAACAGCAACAAAAATACAAAAAATGTGAACATTCAAACTAACCGATTCTTAGCCGAGGAAATTCTCTGTTCCCACGAAAGTGATACATTACACTCTTCACCCTGAATAATTAATAGCTTTAAAAGATAGGTACTGATATTCCACATATGCTCCTTAAGTTTGAAACAAGGGTCGGGGGAAGCAAAATTGAAAGGCCTTTCAAGAGAGGACAAAATTAAACACTATTCAGTACTACTCACTACTCAGAGGATTGGAAAGAAGAACTCAAGCAACACCACAATAGCCATGGTCCTTACTCTTACTAGGACACAAAAGCCATTCTAACGTACATATCCTATATAATTACCTCCTCGTGATAAAGCATTCCACTAATCAGCTACTTAATTAACTGTTGTAAACACCTGGGTTTAAGTAGGTTCTAACAGTTTAACAAAACATTTCCAACATTACTTAATCATTTTGAACTTTATAAGTAAATCTGCTTAAATATCACAGTAGAATATTTTGATCATACCCATTGTGGCATCCATGACCTCCATTTGGGTGAAGACGAAGTACCCCACATGGTAAGTTCATGTCATCGTGGAACTACAAACAAGAATAAATAAACAAATACAATAAAGATATATTTTTTTTTAAACACAGATGCTATCAAGTAATAAAAACTTAAAAATGGGAGAATGGAAGTACCACTAGCACACGATTGAGAGGTAGCTTATAATAAGCAGCAAGTGGTCCTGTCTGCAGATCAGTTGAATAAAGAGAACACACTGTTATATTCTTTCTCTAACATAATCAGTAGTATTAACAGCTCTAACATACAAAACTGAATCAGTTAAACATCAGAAAGAAATATAAATTTATAAGTGTGCTAGAAGGAATGGAATGGAATACAGAGTACAAATATCACATCTGTTTTCATAGAAGATTAACTCCCATTCCCAGTTATACAGAAGTAATAAACATAAAGAGAAAATACTAGATTAAGGAATAACCTTTTTTGAAAACAAAATTGCAATAACAAAATTCCATCAGATGTTAACAGGAAATATATCAGTCACTTACAGATTCACCACTCAAATTCATGTAAGTTTGAGGCTTTGCAAGAAAAACGGGAACTTCACCCACGAAACCTGGCATACCAAAGTTCCATGAACTTCACAAACAAAAATAACAACCAAAGAAAAGTGTGCAAATATTTACATGCCTTGCCCAAAGATAGCTTTGCAATGCACCGTGCTCATTTCAATTCCTTGTGAATTAGCAAAAGCATCAATCATCTCAAACCCCACCTGCTTCAAACCAAAAGAAAAGGAGAGAATTTGAAACTTGTTCATAAAACCAAAAAAGAACAAAACATGAAAGTTAAAAGTATGGTATAGTACATTGTGCCTAGTTCCTTTG